GAAAAGACTGGGACTAGGTGATTTGGGGGCGGGGCGGAGGAAGGACACAAGCCTGACGCAAGCGAAAAAATAGAAGGCCTAGTGGATTTCCCAACAACAAGGCCAAAACTGCCCTGAAACTGCCCTGATTGCGAAATGCCCAATTATTGCGTTCTCAAACAGAATTATTTGCAACTTAACAGCGAATTTAAACCGATACAGGTAAAATAAACTCATTTATAGTATAAACTTACTATTTTTATTTGTATACACGTCTAGACATAAAGTTTGAAGCAACACTATTATTATGTTGACAAGGTGAAGCAAAAGCACAAAATAATAATTCTTTTATTCGCAAGACAATCTACTGTTTTGCTTTGAATAACTATATTTGCGAATTGGGAATGAGGATTTTGAAATTATTGTTCAAATATTACGGATATACCATTTGTAAACAATGTACGTTTTTATATACAGTACTGTACGGGCTAATAATATACAGTATGTATCCGTTTTATTTAATAAATTATAATTGTATATGTGTTTATATATTTTACAAACACAAGACTGCTTCTTGCCAAAATTGAGAAAATATATATTAATGTAGTTGTGTATAAGACAAAATTTCATGAAAGATTCTACTTTTGGTATATATTTTGACGCATTTTGTGCTTTCGCTTCACCTTGTCAACATATTAAATAATAGTGTTGCTTCGAACTTTATGATAAAAACCCCGATTTTCTAGACGTGTATACAAATAAAAATAGTAAGTTTATACTATAAATGAGTTTATTTTACCTGTATCGGTTTAAATTCGCCGTTAAGTTGTAAATAATTCTGTTTGAGAACGCAATAATTGGGCATTTCGCAACCAGGGCAGTTTCAGGGCAGTTTTGGCCTTGTTGTTGGGAAATCCACTAGGCCTTCTAGGCTTGGTTCCTCCGCCCCGCCCCCAAATCACCTAGTCCCAGTCTTTTGATGTGAAAAACCGCTGAATACTAAAAAATATAAATAAGACTAGAAGGCCTAGGTCTAGGCTGGGCGTGAGCGAGTTAAAATTTTCGTGGACGTAAAACAATAA